CCCCCCCGTCAGCCCTCTTGCTCCCGACACACCCCTCCCGAAATGTCTCAGTCTCGGACCCAGGAACCTGCCGATCTCCTACGTTTGGAAGAAGACTGGCTCGTGGGGCGCCTGTGTATAGAAAATAAATATGATCATATACAGCAATTAAAAAAACTCCCTCCCTCTAAGGAGTAAGGATTTTGCCGTCTGGCTCTATGAGGTTTTTTTAAACTGCTGCACCTAAACCTCTAGTTATACATTAAAAACAAAACCCCCTCACTTAGATTCCCAGACTAAAACTCCTGTTGAACCCTTCGTCGCTGTTGCCTTCGGATCTTGTCCCATGGATTCTCTGTCGGGGAAGCGAGAAAGGAGCAGGAGGAACAAAGGGAGGGGGTAGATAAAAGCTCTATAAAGGAACCCAAACCATAGCTTTGCGTATGTCCCTAATTACTGGGGAAAGTGCTTGCTCACTGATGAAATCCCTGTTGGTAGAAGAGGGACCTTTACCTGAGCAGGTGGAAATGAAATGGGACAGATCCGTGAAAAAATCCTGCTGATTTGATATTTCAGGGACGCAGGGCATTGTAGGGCAAAACCTCGGAAAGCAAGAGTTTGTGCTTTCGAAACAGTCTGTGGACGAATGCTCACAAAAGTCTGAACTCTAGAAAGGAATGAGAGAGAGAGAAAGGAGCCATCATTCTAGTGGCGAAACATGCCTCTTTAAAACTAGGAGGGAATCGAATGTAGCTCTTAAATGAAGCTCCCAGTGCTCATGCTAACTCCCGAAATTAAAGCATGCACATCTCGCCTCCAGCAACTGACTTGTATTTTGTTTGTGGACTATTCTTTTTTATATTTCATCTTTTATGGGGGTTTTTATTACTCCGTGAAGCTGGGAGAATGTTCTGCTCGCTCCCTGTTTTATTATTCTTTTTAGAAGCACTGATTTGAGTTGCAGTTTGCAGTTCGTGCCAGTACATGTAATCGAGTAGTAGAGTTTGTGACATAAAAAGCATATGTGGAAAGGTGGTGGGATATCCGCTGGCTGCTTGCGATAGATATGTGTGCATAATATCTACCCCTATAGCTGCTTTTCATATATCTGCCAGTTTAAATATCTTAATTTTGTTTATATTGAAAATAGTAACTTTATGTATCTCATTCCCTGTACTGCTTTGCATTTTTGTATGTTTTCCCCGAGTCTCGAGGTTATATTATCATTTTGCAAATGCCATTGGAAATCAACTAAATTGCAGTAAGTCACAAAGAACAGATGTATTAGAAGCCTTTATATTGTTAATGTATTATAAATTGATTTATTACTATTCGTAGGATTGACTGCAGAATGGAGAGATACATTTATTGATGTATATACAGAGAAAGAATAGAACTTCTGTTCCTTTGGAATACAATTTCAGAGTAGCTTGCTGAAATTACAGTAAATGGGAAGCAATGTACATATGTATGAATGAATGAACAGAACAATAACGATTTAAAAACTAAACGAGACTTAAGAGAACGCCAAATATCACAAACACAATAGACTTGTTAGGTGCAGTTTGTTAGTGTTTATCTTAATGTCTGTTCATTCGCAGTTTCTTCATAACACTATTTCTATAACATAGCAGCTATTGCTCCTTGTCATAACAATAATCGTTACCCTACCAGGATTTTTGCCTCCTCTTTACTGCACAGTGATTGTATTCTTCTCTGAGTCTAGAGGTTTGGAGCGTGTGAAAAGGGGTTGTTTTTCATCCTTTAGTAGAAATACCAAGATCAAACTTCAGCCCTACCGTAAAAAAAAAATAGTTTGCATGGCTTTTTCTCTCCTCTTTTATCTCCCCTCTTCCCTGCCTAATTGTGATGCTATAGAGGTACAGGATATTTTTAGAAATGTCAGAAAATCGGAAGGAAGATGACCGCTCGCTGCAATGGAAGGAGTTCTGGTGGAGGGGCGGTGCTGGGGGGCGGGGGACAAGGAACATAAATTAGTTACTCTTATTTGTTAAAGTAGTGTGTACTGAAGAATATTGATCATCAACAGTCTGTAGGCCAGATCAGATAATTCTATAAACCAGATTATTTCTCTGTGTCGCTATAGTTCTAAAGATCTCACAAAGGGTATTTTCAAATGACTGGACTATTATTCAATATTTATTTCATCATCATTTGATAAAAGAGTTTCCTTTTTCCTCCTCCTTCCTCACTTGTTGTTCTCTTCGTGATGATGTTTGTATTTATGTTGAATTGCTTGTAGCAAAACACTCTAAACCATGCTGTTAAAAATGGATCCAGGTGTTAATATCAGGTTTAGATGAGAGATAAATGTTTTAATATGTTTCAGTCTGTTTAACTATATTTTAACATGCAAAGTTGGGGGGAAGAGGGTTATTGAAATGTTATTAAAATGGGACCCACGTTTGCTGGGATATTTATGAAATACATATGGAGCTCTAAAAGCTGCTCAGTGAGAGCTGACAAAATGTGTTTATCAAAGGGCCAAGAGCACATGGCAATATTTTGATCAGCTCTTATTTATTTTGATGGCTGTGCACTCCATTAACGCAAATCAATGTACAGTTGTCATGTATAGAATGATCATGCAGTAAGGTAACACCTGCAATAGACCTGCAGTTTGAGATTGCGGGTTTCCCTGTGACAGTTGAGAAACAATTCTTCACTTAGACGTACGGTCGTGACTTATTTATATGATTTGTCAAGCGATGGGAGCCAATTCCTATAACAGGTAGTCTGACTGGGGAAGCTGATCATTTTAAATATCAGATAGGCAACCAGCAAAGAGATTTAGATGAAGAGAAAGAGAGAGACGGGACATTTTGTTCTAGGGAGCCGGCTAAAAATAACCACCCCCCCCCCCCATTGCACAGAGGTAGGTTTGGCCAGACCAGTAGGAAATAGAACTGCTCGTGTTAATATAATCAAATCCAGAGATTCGCCCATAGCAGCCAAGGATGAGGGGTATGTTCTCTGGGTCTAGGAGAACGAAGAAGGGGAAAGGGCGTTGCTGCGTTGCTGTTGAGTGCTACAATGGAACTTCAAACCGGCCTCGGGGGCAGCACTATGCATTTGAGCAAGGGCATCCTAGTGGCAAGCTGTAAAACAACGGAACCCTTCCTTTCTGAGTCCTGCCAGTCGACGGCACCACTCCGAGTCCCGTGCCCAGCCGCAGGACAGTGA